AATGAGAAGTTGCAGAGAAGTGACATCACAGATGTAGATTTGTCAGTTAATGAATTTGTGTTGATGCTCTTAATTCACCAAAAAGTGCTCAGATTACATAATTGCTCTTATAGCATATGGGTCATTGTTAGGAATACTTGACCTACAGTTAAGATAATTCACAAGGAACCTAAATTTTAAAAGGTGGTCTTGCAAATGAGAGCGCACTGTTCTTTTGGCACAAGTGTAATATGAATAGTAGAAACTTTTGAAAGAAATGTTTCCTGTTATCATGTACAGACGATTATCTAATATTTCCAAATGTTCAAAGATGGAATAGGCCATTCAGCATACAAATAAGCTGGAACACTGGTTGATTGATTGCATGTTGAAGATAGGATTAAAATGTTGATGGATGGTTACAGAAGGTAAAATTTAATGTCTCTTTGAAGAGTTAATCACTTTATACATACTCAAAGTATGTCAATATAAATTCATAATGCTGATTATGGTTGCAATGTTTTCTCCTACAAAGATCCGGTGAGAAAAGGTAATTTAAGGGAAGCTACTAGAGACTAACATTGATCAAATTATGTTATGTACACGTATACATATGGCACATAAAAAAGTTACAAGATTAAAAGATTCTGAACCTCCCAAAGTTGGAGACTTTTCAAAGTTTGTTTCTGTCTTCTGCTTTAAATTGCAACAATCCTGTGTAACAGGACTAGTGTATTGTAGCAGTTATTTGTAATTGGGGAAAGACAGGACATATGTGCACACCAGACCTTGTAGCTGGGGAAGTGTGCACTAATTGGTAATTATCATCTGGCCTAGACCTGTGAAGGCAGACACCATCCTTCTGACTGAAGATATTTTCACTAGGCTCTACAGTCTATGAACGCAGGTACTCCAACTTCTGATGCAATATCTGGAGTGTAGGCTATGTGATTTGTTTATTGCTTAAGTAAAATATTTAAGTCTTCATTATAACCTTCTCAAATTCTTATGATCATCATGGGGAAATTAAAATGAGATAATTGTGAATGAGCATCTATTAATTCCTGTGAACTACACCAGGCATTATGATGTGGAAGATCATTTAAAATCATAACACAAGCCAGGCATAATGGCACATGCCTAGAATCTCAGTGACTCAGAAGACTGAGGCGAGCCTGGGCAACTTAGTGAGATCCTGTCTCAAAAAAAAAAAAAAAAAAAAAAAAAAGAAAGAAACAGAAATAAAAAGGTCTGGGGATATAGTTCAGTGGTAAAGTACCACTGGTTCAATGTAGTACCATAAACAAATTACTCCCAAACTTCTTTCAACTCCAAAATCTTCCTGTCTTTCAGGAATAGTTTCCATACGTGGGTGCATATGTTCTCTACATCTGTAAAATTTTATAACAAATATCTTCATACTACCAGATCCTCCTCCTCCTCCTCCTCCTCCTCCTCCTCCTCCTCCTCCTCCTCCTCCTCCTCCTCCTCCTCCTCCTCCTTCTTTATAATCTGTGTCTGAAAACCTGTTCTACAATATTAGAATATTTGCCTGTAAAAACACAATATCTTTGAAATATAGATTTTTTATTAGCTAAGATTAATATGTTGTATTCATCCCAAGCAATATTTTACTTTTAATATTTCTCAAGGGGAATTGTTATTGTAGCAGAGAATACACAGTAACTTGTGTCTCTGATCATAATACATTTCATAAAGAAATAAAAACTAAATTTAAAATAGCAAATTCAGTGTTTGTATTCTTATTCTTGTTTTCATCCTCCTTAAAACAATTTTAAAAATCTCAGCCTGGCATGGTAGAACACAGGTGCAATCCCAGCAACTCAGAAACCTAAGGCAGGGGGATTGCAAATTTGAGGAGCACTTTCTGCAATTTAGCAAGGCCGTAAGCAACTTGGCAAGATTCTGTTTCAAAATAAAAAAATGGTGGTGGGGGGAGTTTGGAATGTGACTCAGTGGTTAAGAGTCCCTGGGTTCAATCTCTGGTGCCAGAAAAAAAAAAGGGGGGGGGGCGGTATCTCAGAAAGTCAGATTACAGAGTTATTTTAGGTTTCAATGTATTTTCTATAATTTGAAGGTAGCCTTTTTCTTAGTAAGCCAAGAGATTCCACCTTGTATTTATCTTTCATGCTGCACCTGTGTAGTGAATTTCTCTCATATGAAATAAAATTTTGTCAAAAACTATAACTAAATATTTTTTGAATGTCATATTATACTTTTAGTTATGTCTTAACATGTCTTCTGTCTGCATTTATAAATTAAATGATGACTTTAAGAAATATTTATGTAGTGCATACTTCAGAGAGCTAAATGTATTTAACCTGCTTTAAATGTATACATGTATCAAAACCTCACATGGTAACATAGTAATTTTTTTATGCTTTTCTAGAGAAGTTAAAAGAAATAAAAAATTAAAAATCCACAGGGAACAGGCACACATGGAATGGGAATAATGGAATGCTCAGAGTCAGGGTTGGAATTCTGGCTTTTCTCTCTAGCAACTAAAGGACATTGGACAAGTCATTTGACTGAACTATCAATTTCCTCATCTATGAAATGAGGATTCCAGGTTCAGAAGATTGCTTTGAGAGTACTCTGAACAATGTGTACAATTGTATCTTTTTCTACTGTGAGGCAATAATACAATTGTTTTTCTCAAGAAAATAATGTGCAAGTATCTTGTATTAACTTAGAATTGTGGTTCCACATGCCTTTTGATCTAGAAAAGACCTTACAGATCATCACATTGACCCCCTCTCTTTTAAAACTTTTTGAGAAAACTCAGCTATAGAACAGCAAAGAGACTTCCTGAAAAACACACTAACAACCAATAGCAAAACTATAGTCAGGGATGTAGGTGTTTTTGTTTTTATGTGAATTGGAAATGCCTGCAAAATACATTGTTTTTATTCATTGTTTAAATATTGGAACATGTCATGCAGAACATTGGATAATTGTAGGAGGATTGTTTTTCCTGGATATTTTATCACCAACAAAATTTTTGAAGCCATCATCAAAATCATTGTTGTTATATTTTTATTGACAAAATTAATCAGAAAAGGTTTCTCTGTATTATGTCTCTTTTATGTATCTGAAGTTAGTATTTGTCCTGAACTACAAACATAGAACATACAAAAGCCCTAATAGGGAAGTATGGCAAATTACCAGCCTTGAAGTCATTCATAGTTAGTTGGACTTTAAATTAGCAGGAAGCAAGGAAGGTCTTTACTATGTTTTCAATTGGTATTTCTTGATCTCTGGATAGGTATACTAACCACCTGACATAAAGTGTGTATTCACTGTTCCAGTTTGAAGTACTTTATATTTCATACACCATTTAAAGCCCTTACTCATTGAGACAGATATTAGTGCAATTTAGTTAATGAGGATATTGTGACCCAGAGATTTAAGTATTTTGTCTACTCTGACATCTATAGAAAAAGGCCAAGTCCATGATTAAAATCTGGCATTTTGCTACTTAGTCTGTGGTCTTAATCCCTTGGTCATGCTACTGGATGTTAAATATAAATGCAATGTTTGGGAGTATGGACATCATACTGAGTGGAACAGACAAGGTCTCTGCCTTGATCATAATGGACAACAATAACAGTGTACATACAGAATCATTCATGTATCAATGAGTTTCAAAGAATGACTGATTGTAATTTCCTAGTATTCCTATAGAACACTTTAAATAAGACCAGCGCATGAGTCTTTTCTAACGACTTGTGACATAGTAAATAAACAAAACTGTAAGGCAAAATATGCAGAGAAGACTAAACACCATAATTAAAGAATAGAGCAGCATGAGTAGTTAGGTTTATTTGGCATAAATGGTACATAGATGTTGCATTTTGTCATGCCAAAGTCAATAAAATAGAGCTATTATTAGTGTTTATTTTAACCTCTAATAAAGTTAAGCTGTTGTTCTCTTAGCTAAAGGTAGAAGTTCAATATATCCAATTATGGTAGTTTTAAATGCTAGCCTAAAATATTTTGCTTTTTTCCTAAAAACAATAAAATGTCACAGCTAGTTTCTAGCAGACAGAATCAATTAAAATAATATTTTGGAAACATGAATCCAATTGTGGAATGTATGAGAAAGACAGACAATGTGACTTAGCAGAAGCTAGTACAAAATTATGAGTTGAAAAAAATAGTGAAAATTATGAGGAAAGATATGAAAAGAGTAGAAAGCGAATGACTTTGTTACATTGTTTATGCAATTTAATTTTTTTAGAATCTAAAAAGTCTATGTTTTATGCAACTAGCCTCACCCAAATTCATGTTAAAATTTTAAAATTTTTGAACCAATCTGTTAGTGTACAGATTTTAAAAATGGAAGTCAGACAATGAATGCATATGATAGAGCTGAGGATACACATTTCTAAAAATCATTTCAAGTCTTAATATTTTAACAGTTCCTGTGGTTAATTTAAAAAAAATATGACTCCTCTTCATTTTTAAAAATAATATACTTTTTTTTTCAAATTACCAACAAGCCAGTGTCATGCACTACCTAAAAAATAGATTAGATAATTGAATACATTAATTTAATACATTTATTTATTATGTCACAAGTCCTTAGAATGTTACTTACAAAATAGTAAAATATAAATCACAGGAAACTTAAATGTGTACAATTTTCCTTTCTAATGAGGAATTACCAAAGAAAGGTGCCTTTGAGAGTTTTAAAGTAGCAAGAGTTATACACAAGTATAAATGTTGTATATACATATGTATTATACATATATGTATATAAGTTATAAACATTAAAGCATAAATGACTGATAAGCAGCTAGAGATCAGGTGTGAAATTAATGATCTTTTTAGTAATACCATAATGTGAATAATTGTACTTTTATGACTAAATAATGTGTGTGTGTGTGTTTGGCTTTAGGTACAATATAGCATAAAAAGAAAAAAATGAAGATGAATACTTAATATTGTTTTCTATATAACCAGTGCTATTTAATAAGGCCAGCTCCTATTTCACGCAGGTATGACATCAAAGATGATTACACTCTGAGAATTAAGAAGGCCTTGAGTACAGATGAAGGTACCTATATGTGTATTGCTGAGAATCGGGTGGGAAAAGTGGAAGCCTCCGCTACCCTCACTGTCCGAGGTAAGAGACTTAAGGTGTGAGATATAACTGAATCGGGAGACTAATATTTTGTTTTTGGTAAGTGAACTCACAAGCAAAATGATAAATTCTACTTTTATTATTACAATAGATGTCTACATTGCATGCCCTCTCTATCATTAATTGAAATAAAATTATTTCTAAATTTGGGTGCAAATAGTGATCATCTAAAGGCATTCATTTTTATTTAATAAAATAGAACATGGATGAAAGTTGACAGTTTATGGCCTAAAAGTTAATCTTAGAAAGGATGTAAACCAGTCATTTGCTCTCAACTACTTATGCTTTTAAATGGCATCTGTTTCAAAAGTACTCCTGTTTTCTGTTCACCAGTTTGTTGCTTTATACTAGTAGAATATTGTTTAGAAATTCTTTTTTTATTTTAGCTTTCAAAAAAGCAATCTGAATAAAAAACTAATCATACTTCCAAAGGTGAACAAAGGGTAATGGAAAAGCTCCAGCTTCCTGATAATCTGATTTAGAGAGTGATATGTGAAATTCATTGGCTTAAGTAATTGCAGTAGTTGCTTTTTTTCATTTTCTAAGCATTGCACACTTTCTTAATCATGGAATAATGTTCATTTGCACACTTTCTTAATCATGAAATAATGTTCATTTATAGATTTATTGGAATTGCTTACACTTGAAGGAAAACATTACTAAGCCCACAGCAAACTATAATGAATCAACTGGCTTCCTGGTGGAGCAAGTTGATCCCAAGAGGTAAAATATATCCCAGGTACTAAGTGAAGTCTTGACAGTGAACACTTAGCCTCTCCAAACAGACATTACCACCATACTATTCACTCTCACTGGGATCTAAACAAACATGGAAATGCTCATCTCCTGTACATTCTCAAACCTTTCTTTCACACTAATTGTGCCTCCTCCTCTCATCCTTCCTTCCTCCTACTCTCATTTTTCCCTGTTGGCTGCAAGTGTTCATTCACACCTGTCAGATATCTCTCACCCTATTTAGTTGTACTTCCACCCATATGCAGCTTTGCCCTCAGAAATTTTTGTAAGATGAGCAGAAGGGTTTGGAGGAGTTTGGAGGTATAACAAATGCATCAGAGATACTGAGGTTGCTCCTCCATCTGGTAAGAAAAAAGATTTTTGCCAGACCTGCAATGTAAGCTTCAAATCACACAAAACTCATTTGACTCCAGGTAACTCCTGGGAGTCAGGCATTCTGCATACCTTGAAAATACAGTGCTTTTACACTTCTCAATTGCTCCATTCCTTTTTCACCTGATCCAGTGCTTTCTCCTCCACACAATCTAGTGTGTTCTTAGATGAAAAACACATTTAGACAAAATCAATAAAGCTATTTAAAAATATTTTCACTTCTTACAGGTAACAGATCATAAAGGACTGTGATCATATATGAACCAAATTATATACTCATAATATCTGATCAAAATCTAATAAATCATGCAAAAAAATGAAAACTCTTTATTTAACCTATTCACTCTGTAGATGATTTTATATATGATTGTTTTTAAATAGGAAGCTGTTCGCAAAAACAAAATTTATCTTCGCAAAAACAAATTATCTCCAAAGGTTGTGTTTGTGTGTGTGTGTTTCTGAAGTGAATGGGGAGAAAATAAACAACCCACTAGAAATTTCTATTCAAAAAATATTTGCTGACTAAACAAGTGGTGTGAAAATGTAAGGAGCTGTTTGTTTGTAAAAGCAGCAGGGTTCCTTTTATAGTTCAATGTTTGGATGAATGAGACATGAAGTGTTCTGTTTGCTTAAAGGTCTTTCCCACCTAATTGTTTTTATAATTTGTTGAAGTTTCAGGTTTAACATTTTATTTAACAAAGCATGCTCCGCATGCATGGATGTCTGAAGCTAACTTACAAGTAGAAAGCATTGTTTAGTTCTACAATGATTTTTTTTTTTTAAATCAGAAACCCTTAAATAGTTTCTCCTCTAATCTGGAGCTTGTAGATGAATTAGAATGTTTGTGTGTGTGTGTGTGTGTTTTATGAATTTGTTACTCATCTAAAACTGAAACCTCAAAATCAGGTTAAAGGAAAAAAAACTTCTCCATAATACAATGTAATGTAGAGTAAAATATTATTTAACAACATTTTTACCATTAGGAAAAGCAGTTGGGATTTCTCAAGCTAAGAGGTTAATAAGGAAAAAATTGTCTACAACATTTTTTTCCCTGCGCTTTTTCTATGCACATAAATGAGATTTCAACCTTTCTCTGGATTGTTTTATTAGAACAGGGTCAACTGACCCAAGAGGCCATGTCCATTTAATGCAGGGACACAGTTTAGTTTAATTTGATGATTTTGAAAACATCCACCTGCTGATTTTTTTTCACATGAATAATTTCCTATGCAATAAAGAAGTTTTATTATCATGTTTCTACTAAAATTGTATCATTATGTTCATTTTAGCCAACTGGTGAATATTTAAGGCAGTTTTACAATCAATATCTGAAACAGATCTCTTCAGTTGTTTTTCATTTCAAAAACATGACAAAAATAAAGTGGAGTAAAATGGAGATTACCAACAAAATAACTCCCTTTGCTGACTTGGCAAATGTTAAATTAGTAAGAAACAAAGTTAGTCAACAACATATCGCCTAGCATATATAGTCTAATCAAATATCTCATTATCTAGTAGCATTTTTTAAAATAGCTTAAAAATGACTTCATACAAACTGCATATTTGGAAACATAATTTCCCTCTATTTTTCAGTTGCTTCGTTGGCTTTGCATAAATAAAGATCTCGTTGTAAAAATTACATTTCCTCTAAGGCAATGAAGCCTTAAGTTTTTTGTAATTATTCTAGACTGCAGTGAAAAAGAGATGTGTTTTATTTATTTGAGCATGATTTTTTCATCATGGTTTCTTCTTTTTCTCTCTTTAATATTATAGATTCAAAATACCTTTTCAGGGCTAGGGTTGTGGGTCAGTGGTAGAGTGCTTGTCTCGCATATGTGGGGCACTGAATTTGATCCTCTGCCCTACATAACTAAATAAAACAAAGGTATTGTGTCCATCTGCAACTAAAATTTTTTCAAAAAAAGGTCTTCAAAAAAAATACCTTTTCATTCCTTAAAGAAACATATCTGAAATCCAGCTTGAGGTGGCAACTAAAATAGTAAATTGAAAGATGAAAGGAAAAGGTTCCTTTTCTACTAGACATTGACAAAATTAGGAGAAATATCACCAGTTAGAATGAAGCATGACTTTATGATATTAGTCTGTTGTCTTATTCTGGATATTTTTGTGTTCTGCTCCATACCCCCTTACAAAAAAAAAAAAAAAGAAAAAGGAAAAATATTTCAGGGTAACTTCAGTTTTTCTTTTCATGAAGCAAACTGACCTTATGCTATGGGACCTAAGAGTTTTTCTAAGCCAGAATGTTAACACTACTACTACTTTCAGCTTATTTTTCTTTCTGTTGCCTCTCATGAATACCATTTCTATAAAAGACTATATAGAGGCAACTATACATATGTAGTATATGTGTTATAATGCACATAAGTATTATACTTTATTTTAGAAATTACTCAAGGCTAAGTATTATGATGGATCTGTTTTGAATAAACAAATATGCTTTTAATGCTGCATCTATCTTACCTTGCCAAAAGTGATTAGCAGCAAAATACTTACATTGTTCTAGAGACATGTTATTATGCAGGAGGGCTATATCCATTTGGATATAAGTGAAAGGATTTTTTGTTGAAAAAGCTTATATTTTTCAATGTAAGATTTCATAAAGTTCAAATGCCGCTAAATATATTTCTTCTTCTCTGGATAATGGGACGGCATGTTTTAAAATATTCACCTCTATTTTATATAAAATGGTTTACTAACTTAACAGATTTGACATTATTCTGTTTAAAGAAAATGTTATTAAGCCCATGTATCTCTCTTATAATTTTTGTGCATTAATAACAAGGGAAGCCTATTACTACTGATTTTAGTGATTGAAAGTTATGATATAATAAAAAAATAATAATTTGTTGGCGCATCAGTTTGAAAGCCATTCACAGTGTGAACAAGAATCAACTTGTCAGTCATTGTTTCTTGGCCTCTGCCAAAAGAAGAAAAAAGCTTAACAGCAGTTAGGGAGCTACTGAGTTGAAATCTCTAAGGATGTTCCAACCTATTTGTTATATTTTCATCCACCCTGTCCACGGATGAAAGGTGATGTGATCTTAACTTATTACTGACTGAAAAGCAGTGTCAGGGGCTTTTCTGTAGTCCTTGTAATGGTTCTGACTAACCATGCTTAAAATCCAATTGCTATTTAAATCAGACAGTGAGGCCTTCTTTTATTGACATGACATTTGCTAGTCTGTGAGTTGAATGGTTATATTCAGCAGGTTCTTAACTTTGGGATAGCACTTGGCTGTTGAACTCAAGGTCTTTGACCTAATAACTGTAGAAAGTAATGGTGATGAAACTACCTGAAATAATAAAAGTTGCTGATCATTAGTCCTGAGAGCCAAAATGATATGTTTCTTGGGATCATATTTAAAAACTTTCAGTTTTTTTCAAACTCAGACATCCTTGTTCATAAATTATGAGATTAGAAATCACTCTATTGTCCATACTTAACTGTAACATTACACATCATGATCATGCATTCTGATAATTTTTTTTCTTTCTTTTTTTTTAAATTTCTTTTTTATGTTCTCACCACACCATTGTAATGTCTACAGCTCGCCCTGTTGGTAAGTAGCCATCCTTTTATCCATTTAGCATGGCTTTTTACAATGCTTCATAATTCATGCATAATAGAATTTGACAGAAATATAATTATTCACCCATATTCAAATATTACTGGAGGGACTGTCTACTATAGAAATTCTTCTGACTTTTTTGTCACTTTGAAAAACCATTTTTTTGTAACGACTTTTGCTGCAAAGCATTGTGTAGGTGTCAGTTTTCATATAAATGTATAAATGAATGATTTATGGTATAAAATGCTAACTTTTCTTAAGGAGAAAAATAGAATTCTTTCCTTTCCTTGTGTGTATAAAAGAATCAATTACTATTTATGCTTGGTATTGGTTAAGACAAAAGATTATAAGATCTTATAAGATCAATTAAGCAATTCTATTACTTTCATCACTTATTTTATTTTAACCTACACAGACTCCCAGTTCTTTAGGAGTATTTTTACCTGCTACACACCTGTTATCTGCATGCCTATATAAATAAAATTAAGTAGAACGCTTTAACTTATTGTGAATAGATTGTGACCTTTAGTGTATAAGGGAAAAGAGAGCAGTGGTTTTTGGCATGAAAAGTTAATGTTTGTGTTTTTAACATATCTCATTCTTCATTTGGCTTTGCAAAATTGAAGTAAGAGCTTACGCTTGAAGAAATTTAGGTAGTAATTATTCATGAGCATGTGGTTGATAAAATATTTTCAAATTCATTGATTTACTAATCTTTTTGTGTCAAAATTGAAGTTTAGTTTAACCCAAAAAATACATTTAAATAAATGAAATATTGGTAATTGTGTGATAAGTAAATTAACAGATGGATGCTTACATGGCTGAATGAATGAATGGATCAATTCTACATATTGCTTCATTAATATACTAAGAAATAACAAAATTTTTTCGTTTTTAGGAATTTTTAAATTTTTCCAGCTAGCTTTAAAACTTTCCTTAATATAATAACTTTACATTGCTGACATTGATATATATTGATCCAAATTCATAACCCTCCCCCTACCTTTCTTTGAAATAGTCACAGACTTTATTATCACATAGTATGTTGTTTCATTAATAGCAAATACCATAAATAGAACTTTGGTGTCCCAATCTGAATTTCTGATATGCCATTTCTGATCAGTCCTTTCTTATGTTAGCTCTTGAATAACTGAAACTTTCATCATCTCTTCTACAAAACGGACAAAATAATATTGGCTTATCAAAGTTGCTGCAAGACTGGATTGAGCTTATAATTGTTTATGTATTTGAAAAGTGTTCTATATGCCAATACTGGCTAATGTATTCCTTGTTTCTGAGACATTATTTTGCATTTTGATATATTGAAATATGGTTATGACTTAAAGTTATTTGAAAAATAAAGTACCAGGCTATTTTTTTTCTAGGAACATTCATGTTATTTGAAAATTGTGGACTATATTGTTATAATATTTAATCTTCATTTTCTTGTATTTGAAAGAAATCCTATGAATGATAACTTGGTTGTCAATGGAATAGTATCTAAAATATGGAAGAGAAAGGGAAAATTGAGATAACAGAGAAAGACAGAGAACAAGCTGACAGCAGACTCCATGACCACTCTCTCCGATTTCCTTGTCTCAGCATCTGTGAAAACATTTTCTGGTCCAGGGACAGACTTATTTATGTGTCCAAGAAAGTATTTCATTATTTATTCTTGTTATATAATAAAATATAAATGCAGAGATTTATACAAGTCAGGTGTGGTGGTACATGTCTAAAATAGCAGCTATTTGGGGAGACTTGAGGCAGGAGGATTATAAGTTCAAGGCCAGCTTGGACAAGATTAGTGAGATCAAGTCTCAAAACAGACCAACAAAACAAAAGCAAAAGCAGAATCGTTTATATATAACAAATTTAAGGAATGAATGAGAGTAAATGTAAATATAACATTAATTGACAAGGATTAAAGCAATTTGAACTTTTTTGGAATTCTTGATAACTAAGCAATATAAATTTACAACTTTAATTAGAAATTATTTTAAAATATTAAACTTATGGATTTTATAATAAATATATAAAGATACATGATTCGATGTGAAAATTTGTCAATTGAAAGGTTGGCAATAAGTACCTCAAAATTCAATTTGATTAGGCTTAGGCATCAATTTTAATTATGATATCATGACCTCAAATGAATAGAAAAATATCACATATAAATTATAGATTTTTATACAGCAAATCCTGAGTCTGCTATATTGTTACCAGTTAATTTATATCAAACATTTCCAGAACATAAAACAATATTTTAATGATTTTTTATGTATTTTAAACATTTAAGCAAAGAAAACAGTACATTGATGAAAACAATGTGATGTACACAGAGTATAGGGATTTATCTGTCACCTACAAGTCCTTTTAAAAGTTATTTCCATTTTTTATTCTTGTTTGAAATGATTCTTAAATTCCCATTGGACTGGAAATAAAGAATAGCTTCTTGACACATTGCATTTTACTCGGGAAAGTCTGTCATTTCATAAATCTATCTCGAATGACTTATAACAATGTTCAAAAATATGAAGAACTATACTTTATACTTGACAACTACTATTAATTTTGGAAACTGAATTTTAGATACATTTTTATTGAATTACTAAAAAAGAGACTGATAATTGGGAAATTAGTCTGTTTTTTCTATCAAATTCTTACATCAATTTAAGTTTAGGAACTATAGGTATTTGAACTTTTATTGTTAGTGGACTCAGAAGAAAGTTTTTAAACTTTCAGGTGATAGTAAGAATATTCTGTATACACCATAGACTGCGAACAGAAGCTAGTTTTTATTTCCAATATGTTTGGTGAAAAAATTTGTACCCAGCACATAAAGCTTAGAGAAAATGTAGAGAGGGCAAAGTTTTCCAAAGAAAATTAGAAATCATTGCAGATTCTGGAATTCTTACAAATTCGGAAAATCATCATGGCATTACACCAGATGAAACTTCCTGATGGTCTATGGAAAGTCCCACTTAGAAATCTTTTAAAAACCCCAACTGGGAGTTTGTTCAAATGGATGACTCTTATGAGTTAAAGAATTTGCAACTTAGTGCAATCCACAAACACCTTCCAGACTCTACTTTGGAGATTCTATAAAACTTGATTAAGAGAATCCCCAATGTGGAAAAAAATTGCTGAAATCAGTCCATTATACACTTGCCAATGGAAACCAATATTTTCCAGATTGCATTATTCATCTGTAATGTTACCAACATCTCCTAAAGAGCCCTTTAATTCAACCTCTGTATTTATTGGTTTCCAAAAAATCTAGACCAATGCCACTTTGACAATTAAAAAGCCATTTTTACTATTTCAAAGACATTCCTTATAAGAAAAGCACAAATGCATTGTAGGGCATAGTTAACTAAGAATGTTGAAATGTTCTTTTGTTTATGTGGAAAACTCTTCCAATGAAGGAACTGACAAGAAAAAAACATGGTCTAAATAAGGATAAATATCTTGCTTCCTATACCCATCTGTCTTATTTTCCTATTGGAAGCCTTTCCCAAGCTTAAAAATAAAAAAGAACATCTATTTTGGAGATGGGCAACACATTTTTTCCTAGCAGCAACTCAAAACATGATGAGTAATTTGGAAAAGAACTGTCAAATCGACCAGCTGCCTTACTTGTGACGCTGAGCCCTGCCTCATTTTATATCTTGTACACCATATGCTATCTGCTGATTGCCTCAAGTAGAGAGACCAAAAGCTGAGCATATCAGGTGAAACGTGTTTGAAATATCACAAACAAACTGACAGTACACAACTTTATGAAAAAAACTTTTTTTCCCAATTCAGTGACATAAAAGTATGTTCTTTTTGATAGTAGAATATAATTGGTCACAGAAGAATTCATAAATATTGAAAAAATCATGTTCTTGGCAAAATTCCACATTTTTTGATTATGATTTTATAGAATCTGCCACTAGTCAAAACAGACATCTATAGGGACATAGTTTTTCAATGTTTTAACTGCTTAAGCACAAAAGTAAACATATTCTCATTTTAGAAAGATCTATTTTATGAGTTGAGGCAGTTTTGGAATAGCATGTTCTAACGTATTTTATTCCTGAGGCCACCAAGAAATACCACAACAATAAAAATGAGTGAATAAAATAATAATTCAAGACAAATTATAAATCAGTTATTACTAAGGAACAAGGTGACAGATAATTTTGACACCTTCATATCCCACCCTACCTTGAAATTTGGAAACTATAATGTGCTAAATGTAATTTAAATTAGAAGTGGAAAAATTACAGTTACTTTCAAGTAAAAAAAAAAAAAAAACGTGGTTATTATGTAGCATGCTGAGATGTATTGTTTGTAAAAGGTGTCCTGAGTGTGTTTTGGAAGGGCACCCAGAATTTTATTCCTTGCATTCTTTCTTTGTTGGATAAACTGTACCTCATAACCTGGGGTAATCTTTTCTTTCCTTCAAGTTCTTGAAGTTTCTTGCACCTGGCACTAATTAGCTACTTTATACAGAGTCCTGATTAACTATTACTAAATAAATATCATGTTTTTCATTGTCCCATATATTTTTACAAAATTATAGGTAAAAATGCATATTCTAATAGAGTTTCCACTGTGTGAAATGTTCAAGATATCTTAAACTAATACTTTTTTTTTTTAAAGTGAAAAACAATTTTAGATTACTTCTGCTGGGCCGGTTTTAGCCTTATGTGCTTGACAGCATCTGTCCATTGTCTCTGTAGGGAAGGTTAGGTAAGAATTATTGAATCACACATTTCTTTCTTTCTTTCTTTCTTTTTTTTGTTTCTCATAACTGGATGACATATTCTCTTGTTTGGGCATTGAAAGGTACTTCCACAACAATTCCCTCTTGGTTGGGATATCTCTTTACATATGAATACCCATGTGATCCCTTCTTCCAAATACATTTTCTGGATTACATATTGATGATAATCAACCTTCATCAGATATTCCTGGGACACCAAAAGCTCCCCGAATCTATA